TTTGAGCTGCTTCATCTTCAACCCATGCAAATCGATCTGTCGTTCGTCCGAACAGAACGTATCAACGCTGAGGACACCATGAGCACTTCCAACCCATTCATGTTCGCCGTCAATGTTCTCACCATGTCAATTGGCAACGTCAACGATGCACCAGTACGATACAACTCGTTGATGCTAGAGAACGCACGCATCTCGACAACTGCGTTGATCAACAACATCAAGAACCACTACGTGCAGGAGTCGCTGCGACAAGTGCATGTCATCATCGGGTCTGCTGACTTCCTCGGTAACCCAGTCGGTCTGTTCAACAACATCAGCTCTGGTGTTGCAGACATCTTCTACGAGCCGTACCAGGGTCTCGTCAAATCGGATCGACCCGAAGATCTTGGTATCGGTATCGCTAAGGGTGCATCAAGTTTCGTTAAGAAGTCCGTGTTCGGATTCTCAGACAGTATGGCCAAGTTCACAGGCAGTATGTCAAAGGGTCTCTCAGCGGCCACTTTGGACAAAGAGTTCCAGGACCAGCGTCGCATGTCCCGGTCTCGCAACAGGCCCAAGCATGCGCTCTACGGTATCACGTCCGGTGGCAATGCTTTCGCCAGCAGTCTCGCCAGTGGTCTTGGTGGTCTCGCCCGTCACCCCATCCAAGGAGCTGAGAAGGAAGGTGCTCTTGGTTTCGTAAAGGGAGTCGGCAAAGGACTGTTGGGAGTACCTACCAAGGCCGCCATCGGAGCCTTTGATCTTGCCTCCAACATGGCAGAAGGTGTGCGCAACACAACCACCGTCTTCGACCAAGAAGGCCTCGATCGCGTGCGCCTCACGCGCTTCATCGGCACAGACGGCATCGTGCGCCCCTACTCTCAACGTGAAGCGCTCGGTCAGTTCTGGCTGAAGACACTTGATAACGGCAAGTACTTCAACGAAGACTACATTGCGCATCTTGAGCTGCAGAACAAGGAGATGCTTGTCATGCTCACATACAACGGCCTCATGATGGTGCGCACGAAGAAGCTGCAGACTGAATGGGATGTACCACTCAAGGACGTCCAGACCATCAGCAAAGAGAGGACTGGACTGGGTATCACGCTCAAGGGAGGCACGAATGGGCCTTTCATTCCGGTTAGTGATGAGGAGAGTAGGAATTGGTTCTACCGACAGGTTGCTGTGGGTGTTAATGCTTATAATGACCGGTGGAACGCGAAGGGTTGATTGAGATGGGGAATGAGTGAGTAGAAGGGGAGGTATAATGAGGTTTATGAGTATATGGCATAGCGTGGTTTTGGTATGAGGTTCTGTTTTCGATTGGACTCCTATAATGTATACTCTTTCTATCAATCCGACAGTTTTTCTCTTGGAAAAATGCAGCAACATAATGGTGCGTCATCTCCAGGTCGACTTGTCAGTGTGGCCGGACTAAAGCGAGGCTGGGCCGAATTATGATCGAACTGATAACATGGCGCGTGAAAGCCCCACCGCGCAACGGCACATTTTGTCTCATGGTGACAGCTCCTTCGCGTTATTTACGGGTCGCGGCACCGTTGCGATCCACTCCAAGCAAGGATCACGATTGCGATGCCGAAGCATGGCCGGCGATGATGAAAAGCATGCATGACGTCAGACTGGCGTCGCGCGTCAACCTGCGGGGGAAGCTTGTAGCTGGAATCGCAAAGTACTATCTAACCCTATCTTCTCTTGTCTTTCTCCCCAATATACCCAGCTCGTGCTTTGTGTACATTACTACACCCGCGTTGTCCACCTCCCTTGCCTTTCCCTACCACATCTTACACACCTTCTACCCGCTAATCTAATATGCTTCGCAACGGAGCGTCGCGCCTCGCGCTGAGGTCCGTAGCAGCGCCCCAGTCGGCACGCCCGGCTGCGAGCTTCACGCGCACAACACCTTCTTCTCTGCAATGGGCAACACAATTCGGTTCTCTGGCTGCGCGGAGACCGCAATTAGCGAAAGCGGCTGCTGCGCAATGGAAGCCTGCGTCTGCGGTCTTGCGCCGCAGCATGGCTGATAAGACGTTGACGGAAGGGCAGAAGCAGGCGGAGAGCAGATATGCGCACGAGAAGATTAAGCCCACGCCCGAGACGGTGACGAGTACTAGTTCGACGCATCCGATGTTTTCGGAGGTGGGCACCGAGCAGCCGCAGAATGAGGTCGATATGGCGGCGGGGTTGAAGCATGATGTGGTATGTACATGCAATATCTCTTTTACATGGTAGTCTTGGTATAGCTACTAACAACCACCAGGGCACAATCAAAGAAACTTTCTCCCTCGCTGAAGTCCCGCGCGAAGCATACTACATGGGTCTCGCTGGCACGCTTCCCTACCTCGCAACCTCCATCTCCACCGTGTATCTCTCGTGGGAACTAAACCACTCCACCGCGGGTTACGGCATGATCTTCTCCCAGAAAGACGCTACATACCTTCTCTCCCTCATCGAGCCCCTTCAAATCGGATATGGAGCGTCTATCCTCAGTTTCCTCGGCGCTATCCACTGGGGACTAGAGTGGGCAGGCTACGGAGGCACACAGGGCTACAAGCGCTATGCAATTGGTGTTGTAGCGCCCATGGTAGCATGGTCAACACTGCTCATGCCTATTGAAGGCGCGCTCATCTCGCAGTTCTTGGGTTTCGTTGGGTTGTACTATGTTGATACTCGTATGTCCTTCCCCCCTTCTCCCTCCACCCTTCACCCTACCCTCATTCTAATAAACGATACTAACACAAAACACAGGCGTAAGCCGCCTCGGCTGGACACCCAACTGGTACGCCGTATACCGCTTCGTCCTCACTGCCATCGTCGGAGCCAGTATCGTCCTCACTCTCATCTCCCGCAGCGAGCTTCCGGAACATATCCCTGGTCCTGTTGACCGCGAGAAGGTTTTCAAGGAAGAGGGTTCGAGTGAGGAGAAGCTGGCTAAGCATGAGCATGCGGCTGTTGAGAAGAAGAAGAATGCTGCGCGTAGTGATAACAGGGGTGAGAAATAAACGTGTGTATGCGGGGGGGAATTTGAGAAGGCGTGGCTCTTTTCTTGTGGCGACGAGGCGTTCCTGGCGAGGAGCCCGTGATTTTTTTGGCTTGTGTATATAGTTGATTACCCTGCGTTGGCGTGTGATGTATTGAAACGAAATCATCCTGTTAATTGACTTGTCTGTTGGTTGCGTGAGCTGTGATAGCAAGTCGTACATGTTTTGGAGTCTGTCCAGCAGCGCTTCTTGAGCTTGACCCACACCTGCGCGTACCATATATGCCTTTACTTTTATGCCGGTATGGGTAGCGCATGCTTAAAAAACATATTCTAGCAAAACAGAAAATATGCGATTCTTGTCCTAAGATGTGAAAGACGGTTCAGCCTGGGTCGGGCCATCGCGTACCAATGGCAACTGTGGCACCTCCGCCCTTGGCTCCGCAGTCCACACCTCGCACATGCGCCGATCGTCATCGCTCCCACACCTGTCCCCAACCCACCAACCCTCATTCACCACCCCAGCCACGACCACCTCACCCGACCATGTTATAATCACTTCCAATCGCAATCGCAATCGCACAACCTTCCCGACACCCTCCCCGCTTTCCCGACCAACGCGACAATGATCTCCTCGGGCTTCACCAACGCGCCCGTAACGCAATTCCTCGTCTTCGGCACCGTCATTGGCGCGCTGCTGGCGGCGATTACGGATTCGAGATTCTATCTGCATATTCAGGTTGTGCCGCATTTGTGGGGGTATGGGCAGTTTTGGAGGTGTGGGGTTTGGACGGTATGTTTTATTGATTTCGTGGAGAGGTGGGGAGGATTGGATGGATTGGGAATGGGAATGGGTGGATGAGATGAGGCAGAGAAAAGAGGAAAGATGGAGATAGAGATGGATGGATTGGATGCTAATATGAGACAACAGCTAAGTTTCACAAACTCAACCGAAGTCCTCTTCGCAGTCTTGACATTCTACCAACTCCGCGTTGTGGAAAGGATCTGGGGGAGTAGGAAGTTCGCTGTATGTATCCCCATCTCCCTCTTACCCACCTCCCACACCTACACCAGTCAACTAATACTCCATAGTCCTTCCTCCTCTCCACCCTCCCCTACACAACCCTCCTCCCACCCCTCATCCTAACCTTCATCCTCCGGCCCCTCACTTTCGGCCGGATGAACCACCTCCCCGCCGGCCCAACCCCCCTCCTCTTCGCCCTCCTCGCAAACTACTACGCCGCAATCCCATCCACCTACCGCTACAAAATCTCTCCCTGGGCCGCCTCCACCCCCTCATCCCAACAATCTTTCTATCGGCGCTCCATAACGCTGACGTCGAAATCGCTGTCCTACCTGCCCCCCTTACAACTCGCGCTATCCCAGTTCCCGGGGAGCTTACTAGCGGCGGCGGTGGGGTGGGGGGTTGGCACGGCGTATAGGCGCGATGTGCTGCCCGGTGCGGCGAGGTGGAGGGTGCCTGGGTGGGTTGTGGGTGAGGAGAGGAAAGGTGGGTTTGAGGGGTTGAGGGCGAGGTTGGAGGATGAGAGGGAGAGGGAGGGGGGTGGGGCGGGGTTGGCGACGGGGATATTGGCGGAGGGGGCGGGGGAGGCGAGGCAGAGGAGGACGCTTGGGGATGTGGTTGCTGAGCAGTTTAGGGGGAGGGGGTAGGAGGCGTTGGGAATGTTGTGTGGATGGCCTTACTTGGTGCAAGTATGTTTCGGGTATTGGGTACAATGATTTACTTCACTTATGTGTTATGGAAGGGATATGTGAGGATGGGTGATGTTATTATATAATGTTACGTCGATATCCTCGACTAATGATACAGTATCCCCCTCTTCTGCCCTCTAGACAGACAGACAGATAAAAGACGGATGTAGACGCGAAGCAAAGCCGCAATCTCAAATATACCCCTCCCACGCTATTGACTGACCTCCTCGCGGAGTATACTTTCTTTCTTCTCAAACGCCGTTGTCAAAACAAACCCACAAGATTAGGCCGTACAATCATTAATACTAACTTAACGCAAGGAAAACACCGAATCCCTCGACCCCTTCCCACCCCTCATCTTACTCATAAAATCCTCCGTACTCTCCTCCGCATTAAACAGACAATCCTTCTCCGCAGCCACAACAGGATGACTATTCAGCGCACTCGAAGGCGTAGGCGTAGGTCTACGGCTGCGATGCTGGCCCGTTGTACTACTACTCCTCGTGCGCTGGCTGTTAGGAGGAGCAACAACAGCAGGAGTAGGATTTGGCCCGGCGTCATAACCACGCGGCATCTGTATGCCCTGGGCTTGTATCTCCTGAGCCATGACTTGAGAGTGAGTTAAACGATCGAGACTGCGCCACCATTGGTCTTTGGCTCGACGGGGATCTAACGAGCTGGTTAGATCGAGGGTGGAGGTGTTGGAGGCGGGGGAGTAGGGGGTGTAGGAGGGGGGTGGGGTGGTGGATTCCCACCCTGGTGCCATTGAGTGTCGGTTCGTTTGGGGGGTTCGCGCGTCGATGGAGGAGGAGCGGTGGCGTGGTGAGGTGCGTTGGGGTGACTCGGTTGAACGCTCTGTGGTTCGGTGTCTGCTGCTGCTGCGTGCGGGCACGTGAGGGGAGGCCTCTCGGGTGGAGTGGTGGCGGCCTAGGGAACTACCGGGGGTGTTTGTGGTACTAGGGATGTAGCTTGAGGATGGGCGTTGGTCGGTTGATGCTCGGCTTGAGGGTTTGCGGGGGCGGTATAGACCTCGCAGACCGTCTGGTTGGCGGTCAGGAGCCTGAGGGGCAACGGTGTGTGCTCGTGGTGGGGAGATCTCTGCTGCGTCCATCAAAGACAGCGGACGTGGCTGGTCGATTTGGCGAACGTGCTCTCGACGTCTTGAGGGGGTGGCAGATCTGTCATCCGCTACGATGGAAGGAACCTGTTGCTGGTGGGTCGTAGGAACTGCGGGAACTTCTTCTGGCGTTGGAGAAAGAGACGCATCGCGTAGTGCCTTCAGGGATACTGCAGACATGCGCTCACTCAGATCACGAGCAGACCGTCGTCGCTCTTCCTTGAGATCAAGAAACTTCTTCGACCGTTCTGAAGGCGTAAACGACCTAATCGATGCGCTGCTATGCTTGGCTTGCGGCGATTCAGGCTGGCTGTAGTAATCCGAGTCGAAGTGCGAAGTAGAAGGCCGCGACTCGTCCACACTGAAGACGCGAAGTGGGAATTTGCCAGGGCTGTTGACGAGCGTGCTAGCGGGGGAATGGCTTTCTATAGCCATGACTCGCTGTTTGAGTTGCCTGAGTTCTTCCGAAAGCAACTCCTTCTCCTCCTCCATCTTGATGATGTGCTCGGCAGCTTCTTCGATGGCGAGCTCGTGATCTGTCCAGTGTGCCGCGCTCTCGCTTGCTATAGCGGTGAGCTCGATGTTGGTCTTCCGATGCTCCTCGTCGATTTCTCGCAGCTTCGTCATCTCCTCATCCATCTTTTCCATTTTGAGTCTGAGTTGCTTGTTCTCCGCAGTCAGCTCGTAGTTCGCATCCTCTAGTGGCTCCATCCGTTCGATTTGTTCTTTGGCGGCCGTCAAATCATGCTGCAGCACCTTGTTGTCCTTCCTCAGCAGCTCCACTCGCATGTTGGCAGTCATGAGCGTCTGTTTCAACTTGTCGATCTCTTCTGTGAGTTCTCGACTTGTCCTGGACTGCGGTGGACGAGCATCGCTAGGTCGACGTCGTCGAATGGGCGAAACCGGGGTCATTTGTTCTTCCGTGAGGGCGAATTGATCAAAGATATCCGGCGAAGTCTTGGGTGTGCATATCTCCGGAGGCTTCTGTGCTAGTGGTGGGGGCACTTTGATATCCTGAGGTGAAGGAGTGGGCGTACCCTGTGCCCTCCGTGCCTGGAGCGCATGCCGTAGGTACTCTGATTTCGGCGCCAGAGAGTTCGATCGAGAAAGCGTAGGTCTGGTTTGGTCGGGGGTAGACGGCCTAAAGTCTATCCCACGCGAGGAACCATGTGATGAAGAGGTGTTCGACATGTTGGTGTGGAGTTCCAGTGAATAACTGCGACCGGCAGTATTATAGGTAGAGTTGCAGTGTTCTCCAGCCAGCAGAAACAGCCCTTTGTTCGCGAGAGAAAGATGGTCGCCGACAATGCGATTGTATAGTGCAAGTCCTGTGCGCGAACAATGTATGCGCCTCCAGTTCTAGCAATCGTCACGCGACCAAGACGGGCGATATCGTGCAGTCGGCTGGGTAGGTGTAGGGCGAGATATTACGTAGGGTATGCGAATCGAAGGTGAGGTTTGCGCCTATGCGAGGGTTGTTGATAGCAACGGCGCTGGAACGGTCGCGTCGCGTGCGAAGACAGGTGGATAGTCGCTCGAAAGCGGGTCGTTCTTGGGGTCCATTCGCGCTATGGCAGGGACAATGCTACCGTCGACGTATTGCGCAACTGTTGGCGTCCTGGGTTGTCGTGGTAAAAGAAAATGAGCGGTGACAGTAGTCGAGTGCACGTTGCTGGGATCGCGGATATGGCTTCGATCGCGACTTCACGGCAGACGCATTCACTGGCGGAATTGAGTAAAGGGAGTGAGGAGGCGGTAGTATGAGAGAGACTTGTGCGCGTGAAGAGGACTCGAAAATGACGAATTGTCTCAGGGATAGCGAAGAGTCGCGTCGGGCAGCAACTCTCAGTGGATGGGGGAGGGAGGGCCAGAAGGGAAGACTTGACCGAGATAGGGCAAGTGAGAAGGGGCCCAGCGGGAGCCCTTGGCCGGCGCGACCCAGCACGGCGGATTGCACGTCGCGTCAACACTTCCTATTCGTGCTTTTGGGAGATGAGTGGGGATGAACCTGGTTGAGCCCCTTGCCTGGACGGCTTGACGAGTGCGGTTCCTGGGATTGCTGCATGAGCGACGCATGTCGTCACAAGAAACATCACGAACGAGACAATGCGATTGCGGGGGATTGTGATGATAGTCTCGAGGCGCCCTCTGCTTGCGCTACAATATCTCCATCATCCATGAAAAGAAACACCACAGTGCGAAACCGCCTGCGAACCCGAGTGCGGCGCAGTGTGGCGCGTTCCCCGACCATCCAGACCATGCCCAGTAGCGCTGCCTCCAACGCAGGTCAGTCCTGTCGTTCGTCGGTCGTCGCCGAGGTGATTTGTGATGAGGCACACGAAAATATCCAGGACTCCGTGGTCTCCCAGCTTCCATCATTTACTTTCTTTTTCTCCCAGATCTGCGACCGAGTTGACGTAGTCTACCACGATCTCAGTCATCCATCCAAGATCTCCTCAGACTCGGCCTTGTCCCTGCTGTGTCGCCGTCGACCTGCATACTTCAGCTGTCAAGCTCAGGCCTCAACCTTCATGTTGCCCAAGCATTCGGGCTCCCCTCCGACAAGCGATCGCCCGGCATAATGTCGGTGCCAACACTGTCATTCCGGCATTTTTTTTGCTTGCTAGTTGCCTTCTTGGTGGTTTTGTCACGTCGCAAGTAGACGGTGAATTGCTGAGTTAATTGCTTGGCCGAACCCTGTGCCCCGCTGCTCTGCATGTGGGGCGCAAGAGAGAAAGTTTATGTCTATCGTGAAGTATTAAAGATATACAAATAGTGTGTGGCCTCTTGCATGTGGGGAGCGGGGGATGGTGATCATTCCATCTCCACTGCCATGCCAGCCTGTCGCAGTCGGTCCTCCCACTCGACGCGCAACCTCTCCATCTCCTCCCAGCACTTCCTCCCAGTGTCTATGAAGCGCTCTTGGCTCTCCTTGGTCAGGTCTTTGGCGTACGGATCCCTCCCCTTCCTCTTGTACTCTCCCAGCTTGCCTCCCCATCCCCATCCTGCCACCTCAGTGCGATCTACACGCTCCCGGCCCCAAACATCCGCCGCGCTTCCCCACTTTCCTAAGCCTTCCTTTGCCTCCATGTTGTCCAATGTGCTTTGACTTGCAAGCGCCAGCCAAACCATGGCAGTCGCGCCCTTGTCGACCGAGATGGTATGCCAATCGCTGCCCAGAAGGCGCGCTATGTAGAAGGCCGCAACCATGGCCCATTGGAGGATGAGGGGAAGGGGGACAATCGAAGTGGCGCAGATGCCTGGGTGTGTAACGTAGAGCCGTGGCTTCGTAGTCTTTTCCGTATCTTGGGCGTGCTCGAGGTACTGGTCGACAGGCTCCGTCGTTGAAGGTAATCTAGAGGTGATGGCCAGGACGTCTGTCAGCCTCTTCGTGGCCTCGTATGGCATATGCGATGTGATGCCTTGTATGTCTTCTGTGTCGAAGACGTGCTCGTACGCCTCCAAGCTGCTGACCCAAATCATCCTGCCCCTTGTGCCCTCATTCCTGGGATGTTTCGCCAGTAAGGGTGCGAGGTAGTGTCCCAGCAGATAGTGCCCAAAGACATTGGCGCAGAAGACCTCGCCTAAAGGAGGCTCCTTTTCCGTCTTCTTGTCCGCAGGTATTTGTTCCTTTGCAAGCCATTCACGACCAGAGATCTTGTACGTCGGCCAGGTGGTAGCCTGCAACCACTTTGTGCAGACCGACCAGACGGCGCGCGGCCAGTCAATACCCGTCCACCCGCCTATGCCAGCATTGCAGATGACTGCATCGAGCTTCGGTGTCGTTTCTCGGAGTCTCTTGCTCAACTTCTGTACCGAGACCAGACTCAGCAGGTCCAGTCGCTCCTGCCGGAAATACACGCGATTCTGCAGCACCTGTGCAATGCCCGGTAGCTTTTGTTCATGGCTGCGAATGACCTTGCGCAAATGCTGTTCTAGCTTTTCGATCGTCGCGTCGCCTTTCCGTTGGTCGCGTGTCGTGATGATAAGGACGAGGGATTCGTTCTGGGGGCGCGTCTGTAGGAATTCGTCGATCAGGCGGGTTCCGATACCAAGCCCTAGGCCGCTGTACACGAGTCAATTAACCATATACGAAAAAGAGTAGATGTTCCAACCTGTTTGCGCCCGTGACGAGAACATAGAAGCCACTGTCGGGTGTGGGAATGTCTTCGAGACGCGACATATTGGCTGACGTGATGGAGGATGAGCGATGCCTGTTCCTGAATTCGCTACGGCAGAAGGCGCGCTTTGACCAATCACGACCTACATCAATCCTCCACACGACTTTTGGTTGGACAATTCACGTATGCATGTTTTGAGCCTCTGGACAAAGTTTTGCACGACCATTCAGCATGAGTATGTGGTTGCTATGTAGCAACTGCAAGTTTAGACAGTATGCAAGAGTGAAGTGAAACGTGGTATCATAGGATGAAAGCGCAATGATGGAGATCACTTGTGTGGATAGTCTAACATAGACTGATTCTATCGTGCTCTGGGTCTTAAGATCATCTCTGGTGCACATATTAGTCTTGAGTCGGCTTTCAATACACAGACAACAACCACACCAGACCACTGAAACCCAGTATGCTACTAAAGCAGTTTGAAGACCCGAGTAACAACAGCGTCTTTCTACGGAAAAGAACTCTCCCCCTCTAGCCTCCTCAAAAATGCACTTCCATAGTTGTAGCGATCGATAGTCGACCGGTTGATATCACCTTGAGCCACCGCCTGTGGCTCTCCAGCAAACAAAGTTTACGACTTTACACGGCGCCCAATCCCCCACATTGACCTCGTCACGAGACAAGACAAAGGACCAAACGACCAAGTCCCACACGGCAGACGCAAATAACCCAACGCTTTTTTTTTTGCACTTGAGATAAACTTCTTCAAACTCTATTGCCAATGTGGGTTCAACATTGCATTATCTCGCTTTCGTTCCTCGTCTCGATACCACACTCCTTATAGTGTAGTAGCAGTAGCGCAGTTGATGCGCAAAGTCCAGTATACCAGGATGTACCATGTGTAACCCAAGGGATCCACGACATGAACTTACGCGCATACGTCGTGGTATGACAGACAGTCTGTGTCATACACCTATCCGGATATCTTCCAAACCGTCCGCTAATCATGAGCGTGACACCAGACACGAGTCTGAGGAAGCCAAGACGGCGTGCGTATGCTTGGAGCAAGGGATGCATACGTAGACAAGACTGTTGTCGTCAGCTTTGTAACCCCCCATGCTGCTGCCCCAGATCAACATATCCGGCAAGGATGTTTGCGCGTGCATCTCGGTAGCCTTGGCGGTTGCGCAGCAGGGTCCTGGCGGAATGTCGCGGATATGCATTACCTTGTAGGTGATTGTTCACATGAACCCAAACCCTGTAACTCAGTCAGCCTTACCGCCATCAACGCCGCGCCCTGAGCGAAAGCGACTATCGGTGAAAACGCCGAGATACGGCACAGACGTGATCACCCGCCGCCTCACAGCACGACAGTCTTTCGTACATATGCTTCCGCCGAGGGTCCGACCGACGCTTGAGATTCGTCCGTAGTTGGGTTGTCCTTGCTACGCCTACAGGGAGGGGATGTGGGGCCTGTTTGCGGTAAGACCACGCGGTTGACATCGTCAGGTTAGGTATGAACCTCATACATTGCTTTCTTTGCAGCGGCCCAACCCAGGACAGGGCTGACGAGATTGGTGATCACCAGCTCCAAAACGCGTATCAGTGTTACTGACAAATCATGCCTATGCTGATCCCGTTTGTTCGAACTATTGGGGTAGGGACTGCGAGGTTATACAGAACATTGTGCGTTACCAACCGGATGGTGAAGCGGAGGTTGAAAGTATATGGCCGAGTAAGGGCCGCCGTCTCGACGCGCCAACGAGGCATATCGTCGGTTTATGCCGGTTATCAGATTGTGGAAGTAGAAGCGACGAGCCGGATTGGGGGTCAATGTAAGTGTTGCTGAACCCGAGCTAATCTTGACCAAATCTAGACCCTGGATATACTTTCCAAGGTTGCCTCTGTTCTGTATAGCGAGCTGTCTTCGCGCGCGCCCACGGGCGTGGAAACAATGCTAAACCTCCGAAAGGCGATCCACGACTAGCTCTGCAGTCGTTATGCACGTCATACCTGTAGCCTTTTAGCTGCGTCTCAGATCGTGCTAGTGAAAAAGGCCAGACTTTGTGC